GTAATACATAGAATTTCCACAGTCACTTTAAACTTAACAACCTTTATAACATATGCTATAAATCACAGTGATTCACACACTTTACTTACTGTGCCTACTGCTTGCTTGACTCTATATTCAATCTATCTGCCTGTCTATTCTTTATTTGCCGGGGTTATATACTAAAAAAGAGGGCACCTGGCAAGCACTCGAACATTCACGGGGTTCCTCAATAAGTGATGATCCTTCTAGAAACTCCATCGCGCATGCTCCCAGCTTCGCGTGACTTCCGCTGTCGTAACAGTATAAAATAACACACACAACAGTAATAAATAACTAAGCCTAATACAAAAAATAGTAAAGATAAGTAACATCCATTGAATACCTTGTTAGTGGTATATGAGTTCACATGTCCAAGATGCAACCAATGATACACTGGATCTACCACTAGAAGGCTCTTCAGTTAAATATAATGAACACTAAAACCTACAACACCAGAAAAATGACCAATTATTGTCGAAACGAATGTAATGTTGTATCTATTTACAGATTTTACATCATTCTCCATTCATGGGATGAATTATATTTTAGAATGTTACATTATCTTGCCATTAAGCTAAGAAAACTAGCTCTTAACCAGAAGATAAGTATACTCCAATTCATCTTCTATTGTGAAAATCTGAAGAAAAGAACAGAATATGAACTTCATTCAATGAATTATACTAATTTTAGTTCATATAGTTTTTCATATTAAAGAAAACTGCATCAATACCAGTGTTTACTGTTCCAAAAAGAAAGTATGGAGTTTTGCAATAAATACCACCAAACAGATGAAGCAACAAAAGGATAACTGTTCTTGTCTGATTATTTCTTATCTGAAATTGTGTAAAGTTGTACAAAATGTTAATTATTTTAATAAGAAAGAAGTATTTTAGTGTTGTTTCCTAAATTATGAAACTGCCATTCTCTAATACAGTTTGTTACTGACATATTAATGTGGATTTTATAACAAATATTTAATGTAACTATTTAGTACTTCTCTTTCACATCAAAGGAGGTCTTTGCAACGTCTTGCTTTTCCTTACTCATGTGAAATATATTTCTAAAACGTAAGTTAGCATTTTCTTAAATCACAAATGTATTTCCAATAATACTTACCTTCTCTCATACTACAGCTCTTACTCGACTGTTAGGGTTTCGTTTCCTTTGGCCATCTAAGCATTGGTCTGATTTTTTTTTCACTTGTTCCAATCTTTTATTCCCCACTTAATTGCCCTTGGTGATATCTGTCTCATGACACTCTCCACCTATATCAATGCACCTTCAATGCTGGTACTGTATATAAGCACCTCCTTTAGATAATATTGTCATTTTTTCTAGACTGACCCAATTCGCAGTCTCTAACACCAGTTGACAGTGGGGAGGAAGGGTGGGAGAGTTTGAGGTAAGCATCATTGGAAAAAGATTTTCGATTTAAGAAAATGTTAACTTCCAAAACATATTTCCTCTCACACTACTGCTAGAATCCCACATTGATAGGGTAGAGGGGCCAGTGAGGGCAGTATCCATACAAAATACATCAATATAAATTGTGGTCGTGCCAAATAAAATAGAAGATTAGTACCATAGTGGGGAGACTGCATTACATCCAGAAAAGGTATGTTCTTCACCAGGAACCTAAATCATGCACTGTGGGTGGAAGTTGACGAGATCTATCATCATCATTGACCAGGTCCCAACCATGTAGCCACCAGAATCATGACAAGAAGGTAATCAATACTGAAGTAGACAAACCCTCTCCTCAACCTGAAGAAGTCTGAAAAGCAACACCCCAAACTAGGAAAGACAGGATCCTGTATGCCATATTCAACCTGAGGAAACAGAACTCCTCTGGTCTGGAATTATGAACACTCATCCTCACTCCCCAACTGTGTGGGCAAAGTAAATTGCACTTGCCCCAGAATTATGGGGAGGACATGAAACAAACTGTGCTTAACCAAGAACCCAGAATGGGACCACTCTGCATTCAGAATTATGAGGAGACAATGGACCCCTTTCCATAACAAAGTAATAAACCAATATTGATTAAAAAGAAGGCCCACACTCAATCCAACCAGCTGAATGTCAAATCTGATCCAGTATTACGAGTAGGCTCCCACGTAGGCTGGTGCTGTTCCTACTGGCATCTGGGAAAAAAACATCCAGGGTCCTGGGTAGGAAAGTCACTCTGCAGGAATAACCTCCATAGTAAGAACTCCCTAGATCCACTTGCAGAATATAGGAGGGGGGGGGGGTAATGTTCATTGGGGAGTCCTGAGGAACAATGCTCTGGAAACAGTGCAATTGGTGAAACAATTTCCCTAAATTTTTAAAAGCAAACTGATCCAGATTTATGTAATCCACCAATCGGCAGAGATGGGCAGGATCCCCTTAAGCTTTTCTCATGATAGTCCATGAGTATTGGTCTAGCACAGTACAGTAATACCACCTAAAGTATATTGTGTTAATTGTTGCTAATGCAGATTTGGTTTGAAAAAAGCACACCTGACTGGGCAACACTGGATGGGTGGGTGTAAGATGTCAGAAAAGAAACTCTAACAGTTAAGTAAAGCTGTAGTGTGAGGTGGAGGTGTGTTTTAGAACCAAGAATATTTTTCTTTTACTTAAGCTTCATATTGTTAGTAATGTGATTTTGTTTGTTTTTGAAATTGTTATATGGGGACAAAAAGAAATTATTCCCACTGGCTTACAGTTTATATATATATACGTGTGCATTTTTCTAAAAATTGGAAATAAAACAACACACATGCAGCACATACAGTTTAAGAAATAATGAAAAATCTGATAGTTAATAAACATTATTTGCTCTGTGGATGAGACAAACTACAAAAATAAAATATGTTCTTTAGAATAAGAACAACATGTTTCAATGGAGAAATATCACTTGTATTACCAGTTATTAGAATGAAATTTCACAATTATCCCTTCTTGTCTTGAGGTTTTGGTTTGATTTTAACAATAGAAAACTAGAGGTCACTAATGATTTTGTTTTTCTGGCTTAAGTGCTAACAATGTGTTTGTTTGTTTGTTTGTTATGGATTTCATGCAAAGCTACACAAGGGCTATGTGTGCTAGACTTCCCTAATTTAGCAGTGTAAAACTAGTCATCACCACCTACTCCCAACTCTTGGGCTACTATTTTACCAACGAATAGTGGGAATAGCCTCCATCGCTAAAAGGGCGACCATGTTTGGTGTGATGGGGATTCGAACCCACGACCCACAGATTGCGAGCCGAGCACCCTAACCACCTGGCCATGCCAGACTGCTTACAATGTGACTTTTGTTCGCCAATAAAGGTTTTTGACAGATATCACATCAAAACATCAAAAGTAAAGAAATAAAAAATAATATAATTCCACAATATGCCATAAAATGATATTCAAAAGTTCTACCATGAACTTCACTGAACATTTAGAGTACCATAATGAGCACATATGTTAATATAGGTTATAATTTTATTAGCTAAATTTTTAATTGTACAATAAACCTTTGTTTCAAAACCTCATATCTCAATCAACTTTGTCATTCTTTTTTTACTGTTATTATGTCTCCACAAAGTGACATACTGTTTTTCTATTGTTTCTTCTTCTTCTAAACCCTTTTCAATCAGCTGCTATTGCTTCATTTCTCAGCAGATTGAACTGAAACTTGGTAGGGTTATACCTTGGTCCAGTATGCCTCTTTTTAAATCAAGGGTAAAACAACCCAAAAATGTAATTTTGGGCTACTGTGCAGTCATATTTATAGCAATGAAGATGAAAATTGGAACAAATATAAATTTTTCATGCACCCAACATTTTGAGTCTTTGAGGAGGATCAATTACTCAGTTATAGTTTGACCAATTTACATGGGATTTGGTACAAAGATACTTTTCTACATTGGCAAACAAAAATGGCAGACTTACCCATTTTGAGTAATTATAGGTGTGTGTGGTGGGGGGGGGGGGTCAAGATGCCAATAAAAGCATAATTTTAGGAGTTTTTTGATAATTACTCCAATGTATTTGGCAAATTTACATGGGATTTGGTACAAAGATACGTTCTTATAGGTCCTAAATATATTTTCATACAAGAATGTGGGATTTGACCATTTTTGGTCATTTTAGGTGGGGGAATCAAAATGTTAAACCCATAATTTTAGGTGTTTTGGTCAATTGCTTAGCCATGTTTTAATCATTTAATCATTTTTTCATTGGAATAGGTACAAAAATACTTTTCTGCAGGCAACACATATTGACAAACAAAAATGTTGATCTTACCCTTTTCAGTAATTATGGGAGGGGGGGGCAGCACAATTTTAGGGTTTTTTGACATTTACTCTGCTGTATTTTGGGCAATTCACATGAGATTTTGTACAAAGATATCCTTTTCCAGGTCCCATACAGAGATATGGATAATTTTGGAATTTTTGTCTTTTGCTTATTTTTTTCACTGTGGAAAGCACAATTTGGGATTTTGTACAAAGATAACATCTTGTAGGTCTCAAGCAGTGATGTAGACAGTTTTTGATTTTCCTGTGGTTTTCATGATTTTTCTGGTTTTAAAATTGGCCAAGCTGGGATTGCATGGCTGAGATACATTTTTATTTGTTCACAAGTGTTTGCCTCTTTAACATAAAATAATGGTTTCTTCATGATATTAATAAGGTAGTGATTATGCTAAACAGCACAGTTTCTAGTTTTTACCCTGGTTAACAGGTGATAAGCCAAAACTACATGTCACTTAACTCAAATAATTTAAAAGTTAACCTTTAAAAGAAGAGTTCTAACTCACCATATTTTATTTCCCAAATTTTGTAACACAAACACATTAAACTGAACATTTCCTATAAATCATGACCACATACTTTCAATTCTGAATAAAATTAAGTTTTATCATTTCAATGGATGCAAAAATATTACTCTTATCACTTTGATTATGAGATATATGATGAAATAGTTATACACTGACTTGCAGTAATATTATTAATGTATTTTATCACTTCAAATGAAACTACAGAAAATACTGTACAACACAGCTCAATCCAGTCAATCACTCTACTTATAGTACTATTACAAACATACAAAGTAAAATGACATTACTAAGACCTGTACCAACAGCTTACCAATACAATTATTTTGTTGGATAATTTTGGTTCAATTCTGTGTTCCTTCACCAGGCCAGTTGTTGAGTAAAATATATATTGCTTGTGATTTCATGAATTCTTTCAGTATTTTTTACATGCATATGATAATTTTTCTTGTAACACTTTACGAGAGCTAGCTAGTTAATAACCCTGGATACAGGAATGGAAACTAAAGTTTTCTTCAAATAATTATGAACAAACCTTAAAAAAATAGAACGTTAATCAGCGACGGTATTTCTGTGGTAACATTTATTATTCAAGTAATTAAGAAAATACAGTGCCTGTTCAGGAAATTAAAAGACAAGAAAATAATCATCTGTGTATCCGGAGTAGTGTAAAAGCTAAAAAATATAGTGAACAGTTTTGCAACCGTGTTTCTTTATGTGGCAGGGATGTAACAAGAGGATTTCTTATTTCAAGACCATTAAAAATGAAATAAGATCCTTTAGTTGCAGGTAAATAGATTTAGTTACTTAAACAATAAAACTCAACTTTTGTTTTTACCTATTGAATTTCAAAATGCCTTCACTTGTTCCAATACTCTGTTCTTTTCTTTTAAGAGGATAGCAGTTCTTTCTCTCTGACAAACCATCTGTTGTTCCAATTCCACTAATCTGATCTTGTTTTTAGCTTCCTAGTTAGAAAAGTCTTCCTTGCATTTGTCTTTTATCTTTCAGATGGCTGTTTCTAATTCTGATAGTGTTTTTTGGTAGCTCTTATTTGTAGTTTCAAGCTTAGTTTCAAATAGCTTGAAGTCTCTTTTTCCATTTTGCTAACTGCATGTTCAAATGTATGAATTATGTTTTGCAATTGAATATTACCTCAAAGCATCTCCACTGGTTGATATTCTATTTTTTTTAAGAGTTGTTCCTTGTTATTTTAAGAAAAGCTCAGTTGAAATTGTTGTATCCAAAGCTAATAAACTAGTTAGCTCCTAAAAAAGTATTCCACAAAGAATAATCAGATACCAGAAGTATGTACTATGCTGTTTATATACTTCTATCACCAGAAATAAATAGTAGCTTTCAAAGGCTTCTCTAATGTATGAATATAATAAAACATCTTGCAGATCTCCCAAAAGTACAACAAAATATGAATTCATACAGAAAGGTTCCAATTAACATCCAAATAATTCAAGTAGAAATTCAACAAATATTCTTTAAAGCACTGCTATTAAAATTCACACCAACTATTAATCATAAATTTATTGTCATATACACAGCATTAAACACATAATTTACTATTTTTTCTTGCCATTAACAGTAACTGAATATTTGAAAAGTAGGAGTGGGTAACTTTGGTCTTTGATTACCATCACATTTTATAAAATATTTTACACACACATATATAGAGAACAATTATCAACATTTATTTTAAAGGTCATATAAATCTTTTGGAAGTTTTTTTTCTGTACTTACAATATCCTAGATAACTTTTAAAAAGTATTTCTGTTTGTAACAAAATAGTGTATTTTAATTCTAAACTTTCTATACAATGAAAAATAGTCTTAAAATTTTTAATAAAGTGGCACATTATATATAGAAACAGCAATGTTGCATTTTGACATGCACAATTTTTAAAAGTTTAGTAGTGTTTGCAACTCTTGAACAATCAGTAAAAGAACAGTTTTTATCAGCTTGAAACTTCTGATTCCATTATTATGTGATTCCTATGTTATAAATTTGCTTAAAAGTACTATTAATCAACAAATAGTATAAATCAAACACTTAGAAAATTACAAATGCTTTCATAATTTTTATACCATTCATTACTGTAATTCAAGAATTGCAATGCATTATGCCAAGGCTATAGGTAATATTGATATTGATTTTTGTAAAAAAGTAAATATAATATTTATGAATAACCACAAAAGATAAATGTAGAATAATCTAAAAAAGCTTAGCCAAAATATTAAACTACTCTTTTTTTTTTAATAGTGCAGACTGAAGAAGTGCTATTCAAAGTCACAAAAACATTTTATGGCAAAATTATATGCAAGTTTCAAAAAATCACCTAAAACCAGAAAACAAAGACTAGTATTCATTGTCCCAAAAATTTATTACTGAATGTTAAAACATTATATTTTCCACTCAGATCAATATAAATGCTTTTAGTTTCTAAGACAGCATCTGACGTCTACTTCACAATGATATACCCACATTTTACTACATTTTTCAAAACTTCAGGAGCCATCTGTTAAAATTTTGCATTTTGAACCAGAGCTTAAAAGAAGAAAGTTTCTCTGCTTCACCAATATTTTGTAGCATATTATAAAGTTCTTAGCTTGATTACAATAATTAATCCATTAACAAATAGATAATAAAAAGATGCAACAAATCTTTATAATTTATGAATATACACAAAAATGTTAGCACTCTTTTAAGCAAATTAGTTGCAATATTAAGTCCTCATTAATTGGACATATGCATGTAACTTTTAACACTTTTCTGGGGCTAGGCCCAAACTTTAGACAATTTCTTTTGTTTGGCTACTCCTAAAAATGGTCAAATAATGTTGTTTAGAAAGTTAGAAATAACAAACTACTTAGTATTTTAAAATCAGTATACAGAAAATGTTTGGAATTTGTATACATTAAAGTTATGTTTTTACTTTTCATTGGTATTTCACTTGGGATATCTAATTTTCAGAGTCAAAAGAAAATGTCAAAAAACAGTTGTCTTAATCATTTTTTTTTCAACAAAGTATCATTAAATATCACAATGAAATTTCAAATAATGTCTAATCTTTCACCCTTAACTGGCCATAAATGGGTTTTCAAGAAATAACATACTTATAAGATTTCAAAACATAGACTTAGTTCCAAGAAAAAATATTAAAAAAAAAGAAACTTTTAGTCTTACTGTGATGCTTCATCATACTTTCAATGATAAAAACATCTTCATGCTTTGCAAGACTTGACATTTCATTCTTCAGCTTAGAACTTAATAATCCCAAAATAAGTTTTAGACACACTCATCTAAAATACAAATAAGTACATTATAAAATACAATTATATTTTTATTTGAAATCTTGTTCTAATATACCAATAAAACTTAACCTATATCGTGAATAAGGATTACAATATTTATTTTATTTTTTTAAATGATCTGGGCACTTCATATGTGATATTATTTTTTCTCATTTAATCTTATGTAATTTTATTTGACCACTAAGTGGTATACATAATTTTTGACATGTTGTTGTTGCTATCCAGTTTTGTAAACCTAACAAAGAGTGTCAAGTTAAAAATATCAGAAGAATTTTCTATCAGTATAGATCAAACGAGCCAAACTGATGTTAATGAACAACATTATTTTATAGCTACAGTGTATATTGCAAATAGGCAAACTGTTTCTAGGAATGCCAGCTATACTAATTAGCTACTGTGTTCAACATTTCTGGGTGTGAATCTCATGGTGCACAGACAAAATGATATTCTCAGCTGTAATTTTAACATCCTAGAAAACTATTAAATCTGGAATGTCAGAAATTTAAACTGACTGTATGTTAGAAACCCCACCTCCCCATCACCAGGACTTATTGAACTGCCGTACTTGTTCAATTTCTCGTTTAGTATACTGAAGAAGTGTTGCTATTGCATTTAGCATGTGATATCTATCACATGGATCTCCACAAAGCATATACTGCAAGACTACATTTTTTAGATACTCCATGCTTGTACCACCTTGTGATTGGCTAGATTCCAAGCGATGTATTCTCGCCTTCAGAGATTCAATTTCTTCAATGTACTTCTCTTCCTTCTCTAGCGCACTGTGCTGTAGTTCCCTAAGGGCTGTTTCTGCTTGATGACGAGAATGTCTTAATCCTGAAAGTTCTACATCTTTTCTAGACAATTCCTGAACATAGTAAAGAATCTGGTTATCCCTACTGCTAGGACGAAAAGAATGTGCCAAAAGCTCAGTGAAGCTATTTTCATTATTTATTTCTTGACTATAGACATATCCTTTGTTGTATTGGTGAGGTGCTGACTGGACAGTGTCAGATCTCTGTAGAAAAACAACAAAAATATGTAAGTCTTACAAGTGATTTTGCTATTCATAACACTTTAACATATAAAAAATTGATCTTCATACATTTTTATACTTAACTTTCATCTGAAATTATCTAAGCCATTTTAAAAACAACATACGTTTAGTAAAAAAATGTATGTATTTCATTAATTTGTAATCACATTTGAAAATATTTTTAAAATTTTACACTTTTAATTCTTAAATATCAGGTTTTCTGCTAAGAACAACAAATGCTAAATTTTCCTTAATTCACTACAAATTTAAATCATTTAATTAGTGAGAACACATCAAAATGATAACAAACGTAACCTCACATATAACAACCATGAATATGAATATGACAGTTACAAAAGTGTTACTTCTAATTCCAATACTAATAAAATTGATTCAAAACCGTTTCTGATACTAAACCATGTTTCGATAGTACCTTTACAATCTCAAGTTGAAAAAAAAAAAGCTGATGAAAATATAAATTGTAAATGTGATATATAGTTCAAACAAATACATGATTAACCCTAATGCTATGGGTCTTCCTATGGTCAGGAGACAAAGGGCATGTCATCCTGTTTGTAGAATTGTGTTCAAAACTTTATTGATCTACTATTTAATGAATGTACACCAATAAGTTTGGTATCACATTGTAGATTATAATTCAAATTTCAGTATTATAGATTAGTTAATTTCTTAATTTAAAAGTACATATTATAACAAGATTCCTAAATGTCAATTTTTGTGTGTCATGTGGTATACTGGGTACAGCTTTGGTTCATATGATATGTTTATGATGTCCAAATACAAGGTCAACAGTTTTTTACAAATAAGAAACTCAAATTAATGATATTGACAAGCTAGAATATAAAATGAGAACCTCCTATCTTTTCTATTTAATGAGGTATCACTACATTTAGTGAATCAAACACAGTGGCCCACCCACCTCTTTCCATTTTTGGAAATACTTGCTTATGTACTCCTACTTCTGTCTATGATGTGTGAGTAACCAAGCTCAGAATGTCCCCCTGGTGGTATTCTCAGCCTATTGGAGGGGGGAGTTTCCAAGAATATTTTTTCTTTTTGAATCATAGACGAAAGTAGTAAGTGCAAATCTTGTCCAAAAAACTATTTTTTTTTACTCATACACAGTTTAGTTAGTAAGCCTGATAGATTACAGTGGAATTCTGAAATATTGACAGAGAAATTTATAATACTTAGTTATTTCAAAATGCATATATAAAACCTAAAAAAAATATGTTCTTTTTCATTCTCCACATGTCAAATTTGACAAGGCTTAGCAAATTAAGGAAAGTGTGCAAAGTTTGTAAGTAGAAACCCAAAAATTGTTTTCTCTATTTCTTTATTTACTGTTCTATGCTTTAAGAAAAGTAACTGAAGTTATAATTTTCCTATACTGAAAATGTACTTCTGATAGGTACTTCCCTCCGCTCACAAGAATAGCTTTTCTTGTCCAGTGCTGCCTTCTGTATGCAAACTTTTCTTTATGCATGCCACAAGCCTTCTGTTCCCCCCTATTGGAATCAAGTGATTCCTACATGTCTCTCATCAAGCGTCACTTCTCCACCAATAGAATTGTGACATACATTACACGTGACTTTTTCTGTATACCTCCTCAAAATTATCACTTCAAAGTTTGGCAGAAGACATAAGCACTGGAGGAAAGTGGGGAGAAAGGGTGAAAAGTGTGAGGAGAGGGAAGTACCAATTGGAAATACATTTTCAGTATAGAAAAATTATAACTTCCGATATGGTACTTCCCTCTTCTCACAAGATTAGCTAGAATCCCACATTGAATAGGTGGGGGAACAGTGCAAGGGAATGACAGAAGTATCCCTGAAAGCATCCAAAGGATACCCCTAGAAGTGAGTGTGTCAAATTTGAAGATCTGATGAGGGGAACTGCACCACTTCTGACCACGTATACTCCTCCCTCATTCGTGAAGTGTGTGGGAGATAAGGGTGGAAAAAAAGAGAGGAGCACATCCAAGTGGAAGAGAAATGTGGCAGGATAGTGATCCTAACCCTGAAACATATATGGAAATTAATCCAACAAGGGATGAAAATAGGTAAAAAATGGATGTGTCCAAGGTGTAGAGTGGATAAGCATGGCGGGCTGTACTCAATAAGTCAAATACATCCAAAATCCATGCTGCTTGGAACTGGCATCCACACAGGGGTAGGATGAGGATCATACCAACTTGACCTCAAGTTCAAGAGACTGGAGGTAATCTTGAACCACTCCAGCGCTTGATCCGAGGACCTGACATCCAGTATTGAAAGGATGTCTATTAAATATAAATCAACTCTCCCAACAGTGAGACCGACCAGAACCATCCAAAAAGCAACAACATTCTCAGAATAAGATACACGAGGGATAGAAAAAGGGACAGAACTGGAACAATTCCCCTTACCTCCACTGTGACTCACAACACAAAAGGAGTATAATTGAGGTAGGAATTTAGACAACCATAAAAATGTGTGAAGACTGATGTTGATTGGTTCTACTCTAAATCCAAAACCCAGCCATGGGGTACCGTCATCCAAGTAGGATGAGGGCTCCCAATCAAAGGGGTGAACTGCAATTTGATGTCTCACTCCTTAGTGATTGTATAATGCACAGTAGAGGATATCACATCATCTACACCTGCAGAACACCACTGCCCTACTCTGGACTGAATAGTTATAGCAATCTTTGTGTGGTACCCATTCAGAAGGGTGCCTCCATGGTAAGAAAACTGGTAAGGTCTCCCATACTCCACTACAAGAAAGGGGGTGAGAAAATGCTGGAGAGTCTGGAGGAATGTCATCACCTGAGACAGCGCAATGGGTGACCACAAAAACCCTACTTTGAAAAGTAGACCATACCAATTTATTCAATACAAAGCATGGCAGGGATGGGCTTTGCCGATGCAGTCCATGGGTTGTACAGTCCGGAATGGGCAAGTTTATGAAGCAATTACATCGTGAGGTTATTCACCTACAAGCAATCATGTGGAACACTCCATCTCAACAATGAGCATTGCAAAACCATGGAAGTTAAAGCATAAGTCAACATAGCTGTACAGTGCAGATTTCTGATTGAAGAATACCTGGTCAGGCATCACTCGTCACAGAGCAGGATTCCTATAAAAAAATAAATGAAGCAAGGGCTACTGAAATGAAAAGAATTTATGAATATGGACTTACCCAGTCAAAGTCACATTGAAGCATGGCCTCAGGTGGAAAACCTGATGAAGAAGAAACTGCTATATGGTGTAAATATTGGGAGAAAAACGTATTAAGTGTAGTCCATGTGCCCGATTGTAGGATTTCCTCCAATGACTGGCAAAGACGAGATGTGAGGGAAAAGGTGAGGTGTTGCATCTGATGAGAAGACACCCTGAACAACTTCTGGTGGGAAGAAGACAAGGAGGAATAAGCAAAGAAGGGTATAGACAATACATAGATGTCTATCCGGATCAGGACGAGGGTAGAGATGAGAAATAAATATGAAATGGGCGAAACAAAGAAGTTACCCTCCATAGCTGCCAAGGTCTTTGGTAGGAAGGCACGATCCGGATAAAAGAAAAGACAGGTGTGGTGGTAAAGCATACATGAAACATCAATGGTGAACAAATCAGACCTTCAAAGTTCACAGGTTAAGAGGAGAAGGAAATATGTTTTAAGGGAAAGGTGAAACATGAAGCATGAGGAAATAGGTTCAAATGGAGGTAAAGTGAGGGAATGGAGGACCACATTAATATTCCAGTCCGAAAGACTAGGCTGTCTGGAGGGACAACGAATCCGGAAGGAAGGCATTAACATGGTAAAGACAGGGAAAGCAAAAACTTGATGGTATAGGGTAAAACGAAAGGTATGGGATAAGGCAGCCTGATAACCCAAAATCAAAGACTTCCAGTCGGTAAGACATGTGAGAAACTCAGCCACACAAGCAATAATAGGTTGGTAAGTAAGGAATCCATCAGTAGCAGATCAACTGTGTAACACCTTCCATTTGCATTGATATACCTCCATTGAAAAAGGATGTATGACACAAGCCAAAAAGAAAACTACTTGATGGGAGAAACCTGAACTCCTCGCCAAGGACCGGTTAAAAGCCGGGTATGAAGACAGAGGACATGAATGGCAGGATGTAGAACCGGTGACTGAGATTGATGAAGAAGAGAGTGAGATAAGGGAAGGAAAGGTGCAGTTGGTGTAACCGTGGAAACCACAATTCAGCTAGCCAATAGAGAGTGATCAGAAGGACTCAACATGGAGTGGTATGGATGAGAGAGACCATATGATGAACTAATCGGATAGGAGGAAAAACATAAAGGAATTCGTGGGATCAATCCTGGTTGAGAGCCTGAGAATGAGGTACAAGGGAGCAAAAGAGGGGTAATTTGTGATTGAGGACTGTGGCAAATGCATCTATGTGTGGAAAAAACCCACAGATTGTAAGGCCACTGGAATAAGAAGGAATCTAAAGACCATTCCATCATATACATTTTGTTGGGTTGGGAAAGATGAACCTCTATGAGATTGAAAGCACCTGGAATGTGACATGCAATGAAATGAGTGTGGTGTGTGTGGGCCCAGTAAAGAAAATCCAATGTACAAAAACAGAGATCTTGACCGGGTGTTCCCTTGGTGATTGATATGTGCTACCACCATAGAATTGTTGGAATGAATCATCACTAGACAATGTCTGGAGAGAGAAAGTAAGTGATTCAAAGCCCAACAGACCATAAGAAGCTTGAGGACATCGATATGCAAAGACTACTCATTGACAGACCAAGGACCTGAAGCCTCTTGGTGACTGACCCATGCACTCCAGCACTGAAGGGATGCATCTGTGAAAAGATGTAAATCCAGATGAGGAAGTGAGAAGCTTGTCGACGTATGGGCCTTGTCTAACCACCAAAGCAAGTCATCCAACAGGGTATGCAAAAGGGTAACGGGAGATGCCAAGGGATCCAAAGCAAGGTCCTATTGATCACGAAGAGCCCACTAAAAGGATCACATATGTGCACAACATCAGTGACATCACTGAAGACCACATCTTTAAAAGCAATAAAACCTTGTGAACAGAAAGTGAATGAGCTGAAAGGGCATGGTGAACTAACAATTCTACGAAATGAAGTCATAGAGTAGAAGGTTGATCCCGACTGAGATGAGTGTCAAAAAGGACACCTAAATGGACAAGATATTGGATATGATAGAGGAAGGACTTCACCAACTTGATTAACCAGCCTACCCAAGCAGCCACATAAAGGAGCTGACAAGTATGGCTGGCCGATTCCAGTTCGGAATGAGCCAGTCATCCATATAATGGTGGAATTGCAGCTCCAGAGCATTAAGGCTCTGACCACTAGAAAGAAAACATAAGGGATGGAAGCAAGCCCAAAGGGTGGGGGACAAATTTTGTAAACCACCCTGTGATGGACAAACTTAAAATATGGACAAGACCGTGTTGAGACAGGAATTTGTATATAAAAGCATTGGCGACATTCATCTTGGTCATCCATAAGCCGAGAGAAAACACCCACTGTAGAGTGAGAAATGACTCCATGGTAAAACAGGGCAGTTGAACAAATCAACTGAGGCAGGACAAATTGATGACAGGCATCCAGTCCTCAGTTTTCTTGGAAACAACAAAGAGGCTGAAATAAAAATCTGGTGAAGTATATAGAATAGGTTTTGATGGCCTGTTGAAATAGTAGGTCCTGAACTACCTCCAATAAATGCTGACCAGTCATTGAATCCCAAAGCAGAGGGAAGAAAATGTGGAATAGGAGACGTGGGAGGTGGGGAAAGAAACAGGATCACAAATCCTTCTGATAAAACTGGAAGAACCCAATGATCCTTGATGAAAGGACACCATTGATGAAGAAAATAGGAAAGTCAAGCTCTCACTGGACCAGAACTCACTAGGCAGTTATTGATACTGTTGGCAATGTGACATGCATCACCGAAGAAAACAACGAGAAGGGACAGGTAAGGGTTGGGAACCAGAAGGGCAGGAAACTGTAACAGGTGCCATATTGAGCTTTGACTGAGACAAATGAGCTACAAGATTGGATATGGTAGATTGTTGTTGTTGTACTGATTCAACTCGTGACTCCAAGGATTCGTGAATTGTGTAAAATACATAGTCCCACAAAAATGGGGCTATACGTAAATCCCAAAGATAACATGCTAGTAAACAGATGCGAGTTAAGGTCACATCATGACCTAGAAAGTCTCAACAACAGAGAAGCCATGTATGCAAAGCCAGAGCTGAAGACAATAAACAAGTCAACGTGGAGGAAAGAAGGGAGAGGATGTCCACAGAAAACCCCTCAGGATTTCAGTGGAGAGCCTCAGAAAGAAAATGGATGGTAGAGAGATACCATAAAAGAGTTGTGAGGGTAAGACGAAGGTGGGAAAATTGGGAGTGTGTCAGATCTACAACAATATTTGGGGACTGCCTCCCAAACAGGTAAAATAGAACCTAACAATTGTTGGTCTAGAAAAGAACAGTCTGCATGATGATACGCAAGAGCAAACTTATCTGAAGCCCATGGGGGATAGGCATGGTAATCCTGTCACTTAATTGTGAGGCAAATTGGTCAGCATGTACCTGAATATCTGGGGAGGGGGAACCAAATAGGGATGTGAAGACTGGTCTTGTAGTAAGGAAGAACGTGGTTCATAGGAAATAGGGGTAAGGGATAAAACACCACCTACCTGAGAAATGAAATCCAAAAGACCATAGTAGGCCTGACTCCTCAGGAGGGACATGGGAAGGCACAGCAAAATCAAGAGGTGGAAAAAGGCAATCCAAGTCCTCGTCAGCCTAAACAGGCTCAGCATGTTCATGATGAAGTGGGGCGAGGTCTCAAGTTAGAGGTTGACCCTTGTAATGTTCAATCTCCTTGGGACTAAATGCTGTGGCCTGCGACATAGCACTAGTTGCAGGTGTGACCCCCGAAGTGGTAACATGAACTTCCGATTTCATAATCAAGAAGAGTCAACCAAAATCGAAATTATTAATAATAATGCAACTGTAATAAACTGGGATTAAGATATAGTGAAGAAACAGTCTTAATAAACTTGGAAGTAATTTACTAAAGTTGAATGTGAAATTTGAAACAAACAAAGGGTCCCATCCAATCACAAGCACTGCTAAACAAGAACTGATAGTTCAGTAGAGGCATATAGAGGGACTCACATGCGTATGCCACGCTGCTATTGGTGGAGAAGTGACACATGATGATTTGCATGAGAGACAAATTGGAATCATTTGATTCCAATTGTGGGGAGCAGAATGCTTGTAGCACATGTGAAGAAAAAAGTTTGCATACAGAGGGCATCACTGGATAAGAATAGCTAATCTTCTGAGAAAAGGGAAGTAATGTATTGGAAAGTTAAGAACTTATTTGTAAATAGTAATAATATATATGCATAAATAATGTATCATAATCAAAATGTGACTGTATTTTACAAAATACTGGTTCACCAGAACAAATCAAAGAAAGGTCACTTTGTAGAGGCCAGTTTTATATTACATGAGATGGACGTACGCTGTCATTGCAACTTCTGTATTGTTAGTTAAACAAGGCTGAAAGATAAATGAAATAAAAATAATAAATATACACAGCTATATCATTTATGACATTTAAGCTATTTAAATTCAACATTTGTGGTTTCTTGTCATAATTTGTAGTCATTCTAGAAAAAAAAAAGCATAACTTATATTCATTTACTAATTTTATATGTTGGTTATGAGGTCGGTCAAATTGACCAAACCCATACAGAAATACAATAATGAAAATAACAAAAAATGTAGTTTTTCAAAAAAATAGTTTGATAATTATCTGGAGGTTAGAAGGATTTTGCATGCATAATTTGACGATTTTCTGATGCATAAAAGTATTTTTAATCATAAAATCAAAATTACTTTGCATGTTGGATAGCCAACATTTGGAAAAGAAAAAAAATGCCACAAACAAGTTATTACTCAAAAACATTTGTAATGCTTACTGATAATCTGCAAAAGTTTGTGAAGATACACATACTGTATTAAAAGTTATAGTATGAAAACTATAAAAAGCACAACATGATTATGAAGTCACTCCATAGGACCTAGCCCTAATACATAACAAAAATTATTTCCAACTTTTCAAACAATGTACCATAGGAGATTATGTAGCAAGTGTACCATCAAAACAGCATCATTACTCTGAGGATTTGTTGCTTGGATCAAATTCCAAATATCAGTACCTAGTTTGTTGATAGGGAATCTGACACATAAAAGACATATGTAGATCTACTATATATCTTGTATATACTTTTTCCATGGAAGTTGAAAATCCAAAGGAAAACTTCAACTGCTCCAATTGTCTGTTCTTTTCTTCTAACAGGGTAGCAGTTCTTTCTCTCTGACGAACCATCTGTTGTTCTAATTCCACTAATCTGATCTTGTTTTCAGCTTCCTGGTTTGCCAAGTCTTCTTTGTGTCTGTCTTTTATTTTCTGGATGGATGTTTCTAATTCTGATATTGTTTTTTGGTAGCTGTCTTTCATAGCTTCAAGTTTAGTTTCACTAGCTTGAAGTCTCTCTCTCAATCTTGCCAACTGCACTTTCAAAGATTCCACATCTTTTTGGTTATCCAAGTCCTGAGAAAAAAATTAATAAGGTGAATCACTAAACTCTAAAACTTAGATGAGAAAGTTTTACAAACAACCTGTTTTCTCTGAGGTCTGAGTGTAATGCATCATGAGAAACACATTTTTTACATATTAAAAACTGATACTCAACACATGCAATAACATGGGTCATTCACCAAAACTAAAACACTAGTTTGTGACCAAGCATTTTCACACCTACTTCACAAATATTAATATGGACAAAACGTCATATGCTTAATTATACTTAATTCACTACAAATTTAAATCATTTAATTAATTAAATCACATCAAAAGGATCAACATAATTCTCCAAGATGATGAATTTGTATATAACAACCATGAGCATAACACATTTGTCCTGCAACAAAAGTTTGAGTGTGTATGTAATACACTTTACAGTCTGACAACAGCCAACACGTAAGGGAAAAAATGCCCAAATGCAATGTTTAAAAATCAACCCCATAATTCAGTCACCATTGTAAAATTTTGGCCTATAAAACAAAAATGTTATTCACAAAATTAAGCGTTTATTTGCCACTATTATTTACTGAAAACCTAAGATAAGTTTATTTGCAAGAAACACAGAATAAATAACTTTCTCATAATAATATGCATTACCTAGAATTATATCTAACAGGTCTGTTGGCATAAGATATGCATGCACAAGTTAAATTGTCAGACTTATCTTCTTGTAGCCTTCTAATATAACCTAGAGCATTCTCCAATATGCCTAGCACCAGTGATTTTGACTTGGTCTGGACAACCATTGCTAACTTTATATAAATTTTCTGTGTAAATAAACTACAATCAATTTTATTAATACCCAGAACATTACACATGGAATAAGCTAAGTTCCCAGTACTAAATAGGCCAATTTCCCCCCCCCCCCCTCTTCAATCAGCAGAAAATTACAGCATTTCTAAATACACAAAACATTTCATATGTCATAACAACGTACAATGATACAACCATGTATTTTCTACTCCATATCAATTACCTAGAAGCAATTAGTATAGTTAAAACATTTTCAGATCATACAATTTCATTAAAAATTTTTGTTTGAAGAAAATATTAACATGATTTCCTAATACAGATATGCAACGCTTTAGAAGTGAAATGACCTGAAAATTTAAGTATTTTTTTGAGACCCTAAAGTATATTTTCAGACACATTTGGAAAGAACTGTAAATACTTCAATTCTTTTAACTTTCACTGTTGCCTTTTTCTCTATTCCATTAAAATTTAGAATTATTGGCTTCATTGCTTTTGTACATCTTGAAGTAACTTGTATGTTTTGTTACTACATGTACTAGTAGAAAAATCACATAAAGAAACACTGGATAGGAGAATTTTCATTTTAACATTTTGTTTGTTCTGCTGATTTAAACTCTGAAAATTGTTGGTTATTGAAATATCATTTTCCGATGTTATGAAAGAGAATACTGCATAAGCAGTAGGAGACCAAGCAATAATATCACAATGATGCTTAAGTTGTTACTCCAAGTTCACTACTCGTTAAAGTGAGGTGATTTACCTTAGGTTTAGAATGAATTAATAGTTAGCTAAACAATGACTTATAAGCATAAGAAACAGTTTATTGATGGTGGAATATACTAAGTGTTTCAACAGAACACTGGTCTGTCTTCTTCCAGTATATTCTACACTAAGCAATACAGGGTTATATAAACTCTTCCTTATGCTTATAAGTCATTGTTTGACTATCTATTATTATATTAGCATAATGTGCTTCCTTACTCATGCTAGAATGAATTGTTGTGAGAAGTAGGGTTAGAAAGAAAATTGCTGTTTCGGAATTTCATTATATATTTAGCACCAGACCAAAGTGGTTTGGGAGAATTTGTTTTATGATGTAATATTTTTACAATATTAAATGCTGGTATACAAGTTGTTTAAGTAATTAAACATCAGAAAAACTGAATTATATTTTCTCTATGTTATTAGATCACTTAATGTTAATTGATTTGAAAATTAGTTTTTTGTGTCAGCTCAATAACATGTATCATACAGGAAAGCACAACCAATGAAAAGTTCTAGTTTACAAAGGTGAACATAAAATACACTTGAACAATATTATCATTTGCTTAATAATCACTTTGTATGACAATATATTTTACTAGCATCACAAATATAAACAAAAAAAAAGCAATGTCAAGATGTATGGATCTAAATCTGAAATTTAATATCCTATCATGACTCATACCTCAAGATTTTTGTTTTTATTCTTCACTATAGATTGTACCCTTATTTTGTATTGTTCAAACTCTTCTTTCAATTGTTGGAGGTCCTCCTGACACCGTGCATGAAGATCCATCCCTGCTGCTAACTGGTGCTCGTAAAATTCTATAAGACAATCCATACAACCTGATGCTTACACAAAAAAACAAGAATTCCAAACAAACAAAAAAAAAGACACAGCAGAGTGAATAACCACATCTGAATACACTTTAAAAATGACATGTAATAAGTACAACTTTAAATTTCTGGATTAAAGTCTGCTGTATTTTAAATAATAAACCCCATAAACTATTACTGCAAATTATTAATGACCTTTGTTATGAAATTGAAGCCTAATCAAATCAGTTTTCTTTTACCGGTATTCAACATTTTAAGAAAACATGGTTCAAATACAGTAAGCTTCTTTTAGAAATATATTATATACATTGTGTGTAAAACAATACTTTGTCAGTGGTTAATTAATCAGTTGTGAGAAGAGTCAGTAAAATGATATCAACACGAGACAAAATTTTCAAATGTAATCCACCTTGATAGTTATGGTATAAACCATCTCTGTGCAATAATAGTTAGATATACATAAGCGATAATTTAAAAAAACTCATATCACCTACATCAGTATGTATTAATATCAAATAAAAATAGTTGTTTTCACTTATAAACATAACATCCTTGGGAAACAGACAAATTACCTTAAAATCAAATAACTAAGGATATACAACTAATTGTTCTCTTGAACCTGTGATAATCTGTAAAGCCTGTTAGTATAACAATGCCATGTTGAAAACTTGAAAATCTTTCTTTAACTCTCTTAACTGCCAGTGTTCAGCAGTTGGCCAGGTTTTTCTTCTTATTAACAGATCTTAATAACACGTACATATCACCAAGTTTAAAACATAGACATTTCAAATACACGACACAATATCTGTGACTTCTTTTGGAACATAATTTTTTTTGGTCAACTTATGGTTTATAATACAATCAAAATCACTATGTGTCACAACTATTTATTATGCTCTTATGCATTCATTGCATAATGGCTGAGCTGATAGTCAGTGTGTAGATACTTATACCATAAGTAGGGCTAGTATGCATATGCTATGGCACTCTGTTAAAAGAAATCATGCTATGCAAGACTGAAAAAATACTAAACTACTATAAATACATAGTATGTATAACAACGTTTAAACATAACTTATTTATGGTATATATATTATATTTGACGTGTTAAAAAAAAGTATCATCACTTTCTGTCAACTTTGACCGACAGCAAAATATGATGCAAGCGTTCTTTGTAACTCGAGTTACAAAACTAAAGTTCTTGTATACAAAATTCACTCCAAGATAATTACTTCAGTAAAACATATAAACACACAGTGAAACTCGTTAAGTTAATAGATTACCTTTCTGTTGCTTACAAATAACAGAATACGATAACTAAACAGCAGCAAAACTCCTGTACTGCCTACAGGCAAGTCCAGATGACTTTAAGCCTTATAGGAACTTTTAAATTCTTGTGTGCATAAAAGAGGAAGCTCTAAGAAAATAGACTATTAGAAAAAAATAATCCCAAATTTCATGAATGATATATTTACGAGTTCAACAAATTTAGATACAAAAGAGTCATGATAAAAGAAATGCAGATAGTTGACTTCTACAGTTCTTAACATTACCAACTTCAAAAGTTCACTATTTTAAAACTAATTTAGCTAAAAATAACCTTCAAAGTTATTTTAAATCTATGCATTTATGATTTTGTCTCATTTCATGACAAGTTTTTCTCTATGCAGGCAGAAAATTTAAAATTTCCAACACAAAGCCAAAAATAAAAATGGAGTTTCACATTGCATTTAATTATTTCATCCAAAACAAATGCTGAAAAATCTTACATCAAAAGAAAATTTTAAATCCCAACATTTAAGTTATAATTTTACTTAGGAGGAAGTTTGTGGAGATACATTCCAAATAATTTTTCAAAATTTAATGTCACACATTTTCTCCAAAAAGCCCGTTCCGAAAAAAGATTAATATAAAATGTTTACCTACAAAGTATAGTTATCAATTATATTATAGCACTAAGATACTAATTTGTAGGTGATAAATAGCACTAAGATTTTCCATTACTGCTTACCATTAAGGTCAACTGGTTTTTCTGATCTGTCATTTGCTGTTTTCAAAATGTTCTTATATTTGCATATTTTATCCATCAAGGTCTGAACATCAAGATTGGAATCTTCTTCTTTTTCCACCTTCTTATCATCTTCAGCCACACCTTTAGCTAAGGTGGTGTTTTCTAAGTCAAGTTGAGCAACTCTATCCTGAAAGAAAAGAAAGCTAAAACTCATTCTATTGCAAAGCATGCATTTTTAATGAAAAACATTCTATATTAGAATTATTCTATTAACAATTTTTATAAGATATGCTAAAAGTTTGAAATACTACTTAAATACATGTATTTTTCCAAACTTAAAGCTCATTACCTGTAATAAACAAGTAATGAGGCATGTGCACGAGGGTGTGTAATAGAGGCATTCACTTCACTGGCAAAGTAAAACTGAAGAGCACTCACATTCAACTAACTTTTTGTAAAAATAACAATTTTGTGTAAAATAAGAGAATTTATAGTGTTTGATTTGTGTTGAAATTAATGATAAAGATATGTCAGGAGGGAAAAATGTTATACAAAAATTTCCAAAACAGAATGAGAAACTAAAATAAACATTGAAACTCGTAAACTGAAATTACATTAAGGACTCTGAATGAAAACAAACATACATGACAGTTTTTTAATTTACAAAATTCAAAGAAAAAATATAAACTAAAAGACAAAAAAAAACATAGTTCAGAACTTTTTTGTATGAATGTACAGTGAATAAATATAACTAATTGTGAGACAAATAAAAACAGAAGTACCTGTTAATATTTTCCAACACTGAAAACACTGGACAACAAAAAATTTGGTATTGGAGAAAACCCAAGTTATTCAGGGTAATTTGATGGAGCTGATTTCAAAAATTTAGTCAGAATTTGTCCATTGCCCCTAGATTTTGAGTTATTATAGTATGTCAATATTTTACTAGGACTATGTGAAATACCATACAATCAACTCAGTACAATAGATTTATACTGTGAAATTAAGTTTACTTGGACAGTTTAATAGGTAAAAGGCATACATTTTTGATAACTTCAAACACTGACTGTACTGGTGTAAAATTCCAAATATATTGTTCATATATGCTATTTGTTCTTGATATAATTGTAGTGTATTACAGAGATGAAAGTGTCCCTTTCCTAAAAATCCTGAAAATAATTGAAGCCAAGTAAGGGGGGGTCCGGCACCCAAAATCCTGCATTTTGATGCATTTTAGTACTTAAAATTCACTTAAACAAATTACCCCATTTTTCTTACATCAATGATTATCAAATACATGTGAGAAATATCAAATCTGATTTCCCTAGTTAATGGATAATTTTCAAGAGTGCATTCTTTGGAATTCATAATTTTCACTATTGGATGTCAAAACTTATATAAAGTAATGCTTTTATAACTTACACTCAGTACTGCATATGTGTTTTTGAAATTTGTATGATTCAACTGAGACTAAACAGTTCACACATTATGAAATTGAATAGATTCATTATTAAAACATTGCTAAAAATAAATCAGACATATATTTATTGTAAAATCAAACTCATTCAAGTTTACAAAAGATC